CCTGCCCCCCTGCCCCACTTCGTCCGCTGCCCCGTGCTCTCTCGCTGTTTGCGTGGTGTGTCGGTTGAGCAACCGAACCTAACTTAACTTCAGATGGGCCGCCTCGGTCCGCAGCCTCAGACTGGCATTCCAACGCATTCAAATGACGCGGCCGGACGCTAAAGTTTCGTCCGGCCACGGCGGAAGGCCATTAAGAATCTCTGGAATGAATGGACCGCGTTGCCCAGCGCGATAATTAAGAAATATCGAGAGGACTTAAAATTTCAAATCTCACCGCGTGCCCCGAAATTCGAACGGAACGAACTCTCGTTTACGTCCATTCTTTCTTATCCTCTTAAAACCTTATTTTATCGAATCCGTGCAATTTTTTATCCCCCCCCCCTCCCCCTCGAAAATTATTCAAAATGGCCGATTACACATTCAATCAACTCGTAGAGCTTCAATGGCAACGTAATATTTCTCCGCTACGTAACGTCCGACACGTAAAACGGGAACTCGACTTGGCAACATTGGATCATGATACGGGTTATCATTTCCCCGTTATATATACTCGCGCACCAAAGGGTTTAGCTCTCGTCTCAGTAATCTACAGGCCGCAACTACTTCCTGCCGCTTCGCATTCCCACCAATGTCAGTTCCCGTCTCTTTGTCCTTTGCTCTTTTCCAGATTCCTCTTCCCTTCGCCACGTGGGGTCCCATGCGAATTATCACTCCCGTCGGTCCGGCATTCCCGTTGGCGCATCTTCCAAAGTCCCGCCCGTTTATTACATCTCTCCGGTACCAAGAAACTACGAAGCCCTGGCCGTTGCGCGATCTATTTCGAAAATAGCCACGTTGACTCATTGTCAGCGACGATTGTCCGGCGTTTTTATAATTTCATCGGGCCGGCCAAAAAGGTACTTGTGCCACGTGTCACTTTATAAATAAGTTCCAGTACCTGTAATTTCTTAAAGCTCACTTTACCTTATTTATCCTTCGTCGATTCCTCCAGGAACACTTTTTCATCGTTCTTCGGATCGCGCGGTACAATTTTCATCCCGAAACTCTACCTGAAATTAATCGATCCACCAGAGTCACGAGGATCAATCTTGCTGCTTGATTAGTGCCAGCCAGTAGACACTCCTGCAGGATACCTTGTTAACGAGGTAGCTGGATGCTGTCGCCTGCCAGTCGACAGCCGCTGGACCAGTCGGTATACATATATATACACAGGCATAGTCAGTAACAAGCAGCCATACGAGACTCTCGTAAAGGTCGACCAAGTTTCCCAGTTATGAATGAATCTCCTGCACTCTACTCCAGGAGATAATCTCAGCCGACAGGCAGAGTCCACACGTGCCGCGCAAGACGCTCCTCGCTCTTGGTTCGTCGATCTTCGCACGTCGCCAGCCCAAGATTTCGACGAGCATCGATAGTCGCTACGTGGAAACGACAGTCTCGGATAATCGATTGATTCGCGAAATCCCAAAGGCGCCAACGGAAAGGTGTCGCCGGGATTGTGAACGATGCCTAAGTATGCAGTGGAATCGAGCGCAGGAAATTCCAGCCGTAAATACCAAAGACCCGTGCGTCACTCTATGAAATCGTTTCGACTTTGTCATTCTCGGCGCGATCCCAACCGAGTATCGCTAAGGGAATACGGAATCGACCATTCATTCTTTTTTCTTCTTATATTACTATCCACTGATCTACTTTGTCCCCTTTGCCCGCGAACCTCGGAAAAATCTCGGCGAAGACCGAAATTCCTGAGGATCGTCGGACACCAACGTCCGGTCAGGTATTTCGACTAGGAGCGAAAAGATGGTATTCCATCGATCGGCCGTAACGCCGATCGGCATTGAGGAGATCCGGCCGGTTCTCTCTTTGCCGGTCAAGGAAAACCTGGCAAAAAGTATCGACGCTGCCGCTCGCCGCCACTCTCTTCCCTCTTTTTTCTTCTCTCTCTCTCTCTCTCTCTCTCTCTCTCTCTCTCTCTCTCTCTCTCTCTCTCTCCCCATACAATCTTTCCCTTTTTCCTAAGACCCAAAGCTGACTTTCTCATCGTACGGCTCTCCTCGTGTCAGCCATTCCTAGGAAAAATTCACCGAGTGAAGTAAACGCTTTGGGTGTCGTAAGGGGGGCGGCGGGGGGGATGAAGGGGGGTCAGGTTCGCCGATGCCATCGAGTCGCGACCGATTCACGAATAAAGAATCATGAATGAACGTTTAATAGTTCTGCGCTGGTAATTGCCTTAAACTCAGTGCTCTCTCTCTCTCTCTCTCTCTCTCTCTCTCTCTCTCTCTCTCTCTCTCTCTCCCCATACAATCTTTCCCTTTTTCCTAAGACCCAAAGCTGACTTTCTCATCGTACGGCTCTCCTCGTGTCAGCCATTCCTAGGAAAAATTCACCGAGTGAAGTAAACGCTTTGGGTGTCGTAAGGGGGGCGGCGGGGGGGATGAAGGGGGGTCAGGTTCGCCGATGCCATCGAGTCGCGACCGATTCACGAATAAAGAATCATGAATGAACGTTTAATAGTTCTGCGCTGGTAATTGCCTTAAACTCAGTGCTCTCTCTCTCTCTCTCTCTCTCTCTCTCTCTCTCTCTCTCTCTCTCTCTCCCGCGCTCCTCCCTTCCACCCACCCACTCGATCATTTTCTCTCTCTCTCTCTCTCTCTCTCTCACTAGCACGTACACGCTCGCTCGGCCTAGCCACAGAGAAAGGAATGAAAGAAGAGGAGACGATGCGATTGTTGGCAAAGGCGTCGCAGCAGCGTCCCGTGTGTACCCGGCTTTACAGCGTCGCCTGTACGTGTAAACGCTCAAGGAGATCTGGTACCGACAATGAGTCAGACGAAGCTATGCGCACTTTTCCCTGAATCTGGGTCTGTCATTTTTTTCCGACTAAACCGTCCCCGTACTCCGTAGCGCTCTCGCCTTGAGCTCACATGCGCATCGGGCTTATGAATAACCAAAGGATTAAATCAGCCGTCAGGACGCACGCGCCGCGACGTCTATTTTGTCAATGAGGGTAGCACCCATCTATATAGTTCACTCATGAATGACGGGCACGCGCACCTACTCTCGCTCGAGGAGCCATCGGTCAATGGCCTCCGCGTTACTTCCCTCCTATTCCCTCCTATTCCGCTCTATTTTCCCTCTCGCTTTATTCCATCCGACCTCGCGGATTCCACTCGTCGGTCAGACACGGGAACGCAAGCACCCTCCGCTGGTCTTCTCTACCTTGGTCCACGACTGGGTCCCATCGAACCCCTGTACCTCCCCCCCCCCCC